TAAATTAGGGACGGCTAGCGCAGATAGCCCTCGTGTAGCTTTGCGCGATATTCAAAAACAAACAAACAATCCATTGTGCACTTTGCGCTTGCATAAGTGGATATCTTCTAACTTTTCATTGTTATCTTTCATTAGTGCCATCTAGTGATATACTATCAATTTTTGGCCTTCAACTTTCACTGATTACGTAACTGTTTTTAGTTAAGCCTGTCTTTAATTTCAAAGAACGTAAATATATCACAGGTTTTGGTATGACCCAATGGTGTTATCCTAAGATGGTTCAGCGAAACCTTGTGCTGTCGCTAGGTGGCGCGTGTGTTTTCTTATAGCAAAGCCACATCGGACTATCTGTTGTGTCAACCGAGGGGAATCGAACCCCTGATTTTAGCGTTTTAAATCCGAAGACTTACCGCCGTCCCACCGCTAGATGGCACAGCGAAACCTTCAGAAAACAAATTAAATCCAAAATAACATGTTTTTTCTTTAGATATTTGATCATACAAATGGTGCAAATTTATTAGACTTTTTTTTTTATCACTTAATACATATTTTATTGAAAATCTTATTACGTGATGAAAAAAAAAACATAAAAAATATTTCATTTATTTAAAAATTCTCACGTACAAAAATGACATGGAAGGAACGTTTAGTTGGATATTTTGTTCTGACAATGTAACAGAGATATTTGAAATGCTTTGGTATCACTTTTAATGTAAGAATAGCTAGATAATTTGAAAACTGTGTTTGGAATATGAAACACTGAATAAAAGACCAATATGAACAAAAATGCATGATTTAATAATATTTATTTATGCCTACAAGCACACACACATATATATATATTATCACACAATACACTTCCTCTGGAGGGTGACTCAACCTAACTTTTATATACATAACACAATCAAGTAGCACGATTTTCGTCCCCCCCCCCCCTTCCCAAAGTTTCTTGATAAACACGCAAGATAGAATTTAGGCTTAGTGTAGGTATCATACAAAATATTATAGTACCTGGTTAGATCACGTGCTTGTAGTGAGTGGCACGTTAAGCTTAAATATTCTATAAAAATACTGCTATTTTGTGGTCACACAAGACGCCGAAATATTTGTTTATTCTAGAACAACAAAATGTTGTTCCGTACGCCTTTTTTTTATTTTTAACTCCATGAAAATGTCCACAGTCTTTATAAAAACTATGAATTGGTGCTTTCGCTTCTCTCGCGAAAGATGAAGAATATAACAGTATTGGTGCTAATACGTTACGAACATCAATTCACAGACGGATCTTAACATGATGATGATAAGCAAGTGAGCGAAAGGATAAATTAAGAAAGTAAAGTGGATAACGTTTTTAGTTCTGAAACTCGCCACTCTCTAATCGTCGCTTTAGTTTATTTCATTTTTAGTTCTGAAACTCGCCACTCTCTAATCGTCGCTGTAGTTTATTTCATTTTTAGTTCTGAAACTCGCCACTCTCTAATCGTCGCTGTAGTTTATTTCATTTTTAGTTCTGAAACTCGCCACTCTCTAATCGTC